CTCACACCTTGAGACACAACCACAAGACAGAGAGAGACCCACACTGAGAATGGTGTGAGTCTTGGAACTTCAAAGACCCCCAGTGACATGCCTCCTGCAACAAGACCACACCCATTATTCCTTCCCAAACAGTTCTACTGACTGCAGACCTAGTATTTAAACATAGGAGTCTATGGGGGCTATTGGCATTCAAACCACCACACCAGCAAATAGCCCTGGCAGTGTCTATGATAGCCCATTTGGATTCCGCATTGCGTTGTGAAGTTAATACTCTGTTGTCATTCAAACACTGTACAGGGAAGACAATTCCTCGCATCATGCCCCTAAAATTAAGAAAAGCTAGCCAGGAATAGTGGCGCATGCCTTTAATCCCAGCACTTGGGAAGCAGAGGCAGGTGGATCTCTGTGAGTACCAGGCCAGCCTGTTCTACAAAGTGAGTTCCAAGACAGTCAGAACTACATAGTGCGACCCTGTCTTAAAAAAAAAAAAAAAAAATAGCCGGGCGGTGGTGGCGCACGCCTTTAATCCCAGCACTTGGGAGGCAGAGCCAGGCGGATCTCTGTGAGTTCGAGGCCAGCCTGGGCTACCAAGTGAGTTCCAGGAAAGGCGCAAAGCTACACAGAGAAACCCTGTCTCGAAAAACCAAAAAAAAAAAAAAAAAAGAAAAGAAAACCTACCCAATCCTCTACTATAAGACATGGACATGAGCATGAGAACAATGAAGTAAATTACCAGCTCAAGTGGTAGATACCAAATTCTGGTGTCCATTACAACTTTCAACTTCATATGGATGAAAATATTCTCTGCTATTCGTTCCAGCAGTTGTTGCCGTAGCAACAGACACACTGATCTCACTGTTGAAATACGCTGATTCCTAGGATATTATTATTAGAGCCTTCAGTATTTTAGGAAAACTCTTAATTCTTCATGCATAGATTTATAAACTTCATTTTTTTGTAAAAACAGGGATAGGTGTGGCTTTAATTTACAGTGTAACTTAACAAGCTTGTATATGTTTGCTAATTTCTCCTTATCCCAAAATGGCTGGCTCAGGGCTTGTCTTCCTAAAGCTTGGAAGACACCACTGACCATATTTTCACTTTCCTCTACCCGTGGGCTCCACCATCATCTTCCCAAGTGTTTTTGGAACCAATTTTCTCTCTGTTCTTTGTCCCCAGTAGAGTCCCTGCATGCCCCTCTGCTCCTGCCTCTTCTACTCCAGAAACTTCCCAACCAGTTTTCCTGTATCCATTCCCATGCTTCTGGAAGCAGCCGTCAGCAGACTTTGTATGGTATAAATATAATCCTGGCCCACCATCCTTAAACCATTCGATGGGTTCTCCTTGGACGCAGGAAAAGATCTTAAGTCTGTAGTGTGGTATGTTCTCCTATGGATTCCTAACAAGATATCACAAACTTCAATGAATGTAAATGTATAATTTCATAGCTTCCATGGATCCAAACTGGGCAAGGCTGAACTGGTTGTCTACTTAAACCCCACAAGGATTTCATCAAGTAGTTGACAAGAGCCATGACCTCAGATGAGAACTGCTGGTTTGGGACAGGTCCTCAACTCCTACACAGCTCCAGATGTAATTTCTTCAATATGACAAAAATTTTTGTTTGTTTTGAGACATAATACTACTGTGTATCCTTGACTAGCCTGTAAACTCTTATGAGAACACACTTGCTTCAGACCCACAGAGATCACCCTGCCTCTGCGTCCTGAATGCTGGGATTAAAGACGTGAGCCACCACCCACACCCAGAATGAATACATTTTGAAGACATGCTTGTTTTCCTCCATCTATCAGACTATAACACAATGAACCCAAAGAAACTGACATTGCCTCAGAAACCTCATGGAGGGAGAAGGAAAAGACTGAAGCCCTGCACCAGCCGGGGGAGTGGGGAGCTCATTCCCAGAAAGGATTTCACAGGGTTCTAAGTTGTCCTAAGTTGTCAGGCCATCTTGCAGGATGAGACTGAAGCTCAGGCAATGATGAGTCAGTGGTGAACAGGACCACAGCCTTGCTTCTACTGCTTACACTGCACATCCCTCACTCTCTGTTTAAACGTTATTTTTATTTTATGTGTATTGGTGTCTTGCCAGCATGTATGTCTGTTCAAGGATGCCAGATCCCCTGGAACTGGAGCACTAGACAGCTACAAGCTGCCATGTGGTTGCTGGGAATCGAACCCTGGTCCTCTGGAAGTACTCTTAACCGCTGAGCCATCACCCCAGCCCTCTATTTAAACTTCAATATCACTTCAGGACCCTGAATATGAACTGGAGTAGGGGCTGGCTCTCTTTGTCCCTCTTTCCCAAATGGCACATTGAATAAATCTTTTTCTGACTTTTGCTATTCATTTGACCACTTTAATTGGCTTCCTTAGGACCAGCAGCCAAACTTAGGCTTCACAGATTATGACCCCGAGTTTGGTAACAGAAGGTCCTGGTCACATTGACATTCACAAGGGAAGAAACAGTTGGAGCGTTAACCCTGCTTTCCCAGGACCCTCCTTGACCCCAGCTGGCCATCTCTACATCCAGAGGGTTCCGGGTACCACAGACTTTGGCTGCTAAAGCTCCTGCTATTCTTGTTTTTGTTCAATTCACAGTGATCATTGAGGTTCAAAGGAGAAGATGACCACAACCTTCTCCAAGGAGACTTTCAATGTCCACAGACACGGAAAGTTATTGGCAACTTTTCCTCTAAATGTACTTCTATCTGCCTCCTTTGCCCTCCATCAAGCTCCCAGTTATGTGTGGGACAGGGAGGCCCAGAAGTTCAGAGCCAGCCATCAGCCAAAAAGCTCTCATGTTCTCCCTCAGCTCACTACATGGGCTCTGATGGCTCTGCAGGTGGAGCCCAGGTCTCAGAGCTGTGGAAACGCAGCTCCCTAGGGTCCCAAGTCTCACCTGACAGGTTACCTCTTGCCACTTTAAAAACTTTCTTTGTTTACTATCTTATCTCCAAAGTCACTGCCACCTTTGACTTTTAAGAGTCATTGGTCCTTAGCCTGCCCTCAGGAGTGGCTAGTAACACTATCCAGACTTGGTTTGGCTGCATTTGTGAGTTCATCCAAGAGCTAACGGGTACATTGGCTCATTCATTATGGAGTGTCCTTCCACTCACATTCTGTTGGCCAAACTAGTTCCCATGATAACATCTACTTTCCTTCAAAGAGGGCAAGAAAATGCAGCCCTGCTCAGGGGATGAGAGGAAGAGAAATGCAGTGTCTGTGTCCAAGACAAACAACTGTCATAGCTCTTGTGAGAGGCCCCCTCACATGCCTCGTGGGGACCACCACACTTCACCTAAGATCTCTGACTCTTGGGTGACTATGGAAACACAAAAGGAGACTTGTTCAGTTTGATTTCTTCTTAGGAAAAATACATTGGCTTCCAATGATCAGTATAGTTTTTCTCCTTTTAAATATTCCAACTTGGAACTGGACAGAAGGTTCAGGGGTAATGAGAACTTGTTCTTCCTGAGGACCAGAATGCAGTTCCTAGAACCCACATTTGGTGGTACTCAGCTGTGTGTAACTCTAGCTCCAAGGGATCTGATGCCCTCATTTGGTCCCCCAAAGGCAAACACACATATATGGTGCAAGCGTAAACACACACACACACACACACACACACACACACACACACACAGAGAGAGAGAGAGAGAGAGAGAGAGAGAGAGAGAGAGAGAGAGAGAGAGAGAGAGAGAGACCTAAAAAGTTTTATTTTTTTAAAAAAAGAAAGCAAAAATTCAACTGTCCTGGCTAGTTTTATGTCAACTTGACACATGCTAACATTTGGGGGAGGGAACCTCAATTAAGCAAATACCTCTATAAAATCAGGCTGTAGGCAGGGAAGCCTGTAGGGCATTTTCTTAATTAATGATTGACAGGGAAGGGCCCAGGCTGTTGTGGAAATGGATTCCCTGGACTGGTCTGGTGATCCTGGGTTCTCTAAGAAAGCAGGCTGAGCAGGCCAGGAGGAGCAAACCAGTAAGCAGCACCCCTCTGTGGCCTCTGCACCAGCTCCTGCCTCTGGGTTCGTGCCCTGTGTGAGTTCCCACCCCAACTGCCTTCGATGTTGAACAGTCACATGGAGGAGCAAGTGAAACAAATGAAGCCTTTCCTTCCCGACTTGCTGTTTTTTCGAGACAGGGTTCCTCTGTGTAGTTTTGGTGCCTGTCCTGGCTCTCGCTCTGTAGACCAGGCTGGCTTCAAACTCACAAAGATCCGCCTGGCTCTGCCTCCTGAGTGCTGGGATTGAAACCACCTGGTTTCTGACTGCTTTTGGTCATGGTGTTTCATCATCACAACTGAAAACCTCACTAAGACACCAACTTAAAATTTTTTCCTTTCTGGTTTATAATGTAAATATTCAAAATCTAATGTTTAACCATGCTTAGTTTTGCCAGGGACAGAATGAAAACCACAAAAGTCTATGGTTCCTAAGGGGCTGTGCTAGTTTTTATTGTTAGGACAAAATTCCTGGCATAAACAACCTAACAAAGGATTTTGTGATGCTTAATCTTGACTTCCAACTTGACTGGATTTAGAATTCACCCAGAGCCGGGCAGTGGTGGCACAGGCCTTTAATCCCAGCACTCAGGAGGCAGAGCCAGGTGGATCTCTGTGAGTTCGAGGCCAGCCTGGTCTACAGAACGAGATCCAGGACAGGCACCAAAACTACACAGAGAAACCCTGTCTCAAAAAACCAAACCAAAGCCAGGCGGTGGTGGCGCACGCCTTTAATCCCAGCACTCGGGAGGCAGAGCCAGGCGGATCTCTGTGAGTTCGAGGCCAGCCTGGGCTACCAAGTGAGTTCCAGGAAAGGCGCAAAGCTACACAGAGAAACCCTGTCTCGAAAAACCAAAAAAAAAAAAAAAAAAAAAAAAAAAAAAAAAAAAGAATTCACCCAGAATAGGGCTCTTCTCATTCATGAATCCCTTACACCTGAGAAATCTTATATGACCCCAGGTACACAGGTATATAAAAAAGGTATACAGTGTTCCCAGCAGGCTGTGCGCGCACCTCGCTTCCTCCGAGCGCGTGAGCGGTTGATTGCGGGCTGGCCATGGTGCTTCGCGTCCCCAAGGCCCCGGGCTTTGCCCAGATGCTCAAGGATGGAGCAAAACATCTTTCAGGATTAGAAGAGGCTGTTTATAGAAATATACAAGCTTGCAAGGAGCTTGCTCAGACTACTCATACAGCATATGGACCAAATGGAATGAATAAAATGGTCATCAGTCGCCTGGAGAAGCTGTTTGTGACAAATGATGCAGCGACTATTTTAAGAGAGCTAGAGGTACAACATCCTGCTGCAAAAATGATTGTGATGGCCTCTCATACGCAAGAACAAGAGGTTGGAGATGGCGCTTTGTTCTGGTATTTGCTGGAGCTCTTCTGGAACTAGCCGAAGAACTTCCGAGGATTGGTCTGTCGGTGTCAGAGGTAATATCAGGCTATGAAGTAGCTTGCAAAAAAAGCTCATGAGATTCTTCCAGATTTGGTATGTTGTTTTGCAAAGAACCTTCGAGATGTTGATGAAGTGTCATCTCTGCTTCGAACCTCTGTAATGAGTAAGCAGTATGGCAATGAAGCATTTCTGGCCAAGCTTATTGCTCAGGCATGTGTATCTGTTTTTCCTGATTCTGGCAGTTTCAATGTTGATAATATCAGAGCGTGTAAGATTCTGGGCTCTGGTATCTATTTGTCTTCAGTGTTGCATGGCATGGTTTTTAAGAGGGAAACCAAAGGTGACGTAACATCTGTCAAAGATGCAAAAATAGCGATGTACTCTTGTCCATGCTGAAGACCTGATGAACTTTAGTAAGGGAGAAGAAAATCTTACGGATGCACACATGAAAGCTATTGCCGCCACTGGTGCAAATGTCATAGTGACAGGTGGCAAAGTGGCAGACATGGCTCTCCATTATGCTAACAAGTACAATATCATGTTGGTGAGGCCGAACTCAAAGTGGGATCTCAGAAGACTCTGTAAAACAGTTGGTGCTACAACTCTTCCTAGATTGACTCCTCCTGTTCTTGAAGAAATGGGACGTTGTGACACTGTTTACTTCTCAGAAGGTGGAGACACACAGGTGGCTGTCTTTAAGCATGAAAAAGAAGACGGTGCCATTTCTTCTATAGTTCTTCGAGACTCTGCAGATAACCTGATGGATGATATAGAAAGGGCAGTAGATGATGGAGTTAATGCTTTCAAAGTTCTCACAAGGGATAAGCGTCTTGTACCTGGAGGTGGAGCAACAGAAACTGAGTTGGCCAAACAAATCACATCATATGGAGAGACATGTCCTGGACTTGAACAGTATGCTATTCAGAAGTTTGCTGAAGAAGATTCTGGTGTGAAAGCCAACGAAATTATCTCTAAACTTTATGCAGTGCACCAAGAAGGAAGCAAAAATGTGGGATTGGATATGAAGGCTGAAGTTCCGGCTGTAAAGGCTATGTTAGAAGCCAATATTTTAGATCCTTACTTGGGAAAATACTGGGCTATTAAATTTGCCACTAATGCTGCAGTCACTGTCCTTAGAGTGGATCAGGTCATCATGGCAAAACCAGCTGGTGGGCCCACACCTCTAAGTGGAAAGACTGGGGTGATGACCAAAGTGCTGAGCGACTTTTTCTTGTAGGTGAAGAGTTTTTATTTGTAGAGTGGAACTTCCCTAATCTTAGTCTCCTTAAATTAAGAAGTATTTGTGTTTGTACTCTGCTGGGTGGTAAAATAAATGTGTTACTGTTAACCTATCTGGTCAATTGCTGCTTATATCAACCTTTTAAAACACAAACTATAAGCAGGGAAAGTCACTTACATGACTGTTTTGTTTACCTGGCCTGCTTTTGAAAATAAATTGTTTAAAAAAAAAGAAAGAAAAAAAAAGAGGTATACAAATCAAACATTTGTTAATAACAAATCATAAAGATTTATTTTAAAACAATTATCTGTGGACTGTCCCAGTAGGTAAAATTGTTGCTGGTACAAGTATGAGGACCTGAGCTTGGATCCCAAGAACTCACATAAAAGTCAGGTGTGGCAGCATGAATCTGTGGCCCTGCTTGTGCATGGGGAAGAGACAGGTAGATCCCAGGGGCTTCCTGGCCAGTCAATCCCCCCAGCCACCTGTAACAGCAAGCTGAAAGTTCAGGGAGAATTCCTATCTTTAAAAAAATTTTAAAATAATTTAACATTTCTATTTTATTTTATTTGTATGGATGTGTTTGCCTGTATGCATGTACATGTGCACCGTGTACATGCCTGATGCCCAAGGAAGCCACAAGAGGGCACTGAATACCTTGGAACTGGAGTTACAGGTGGTTGTGAGTGGGCATGTGGGTGTTGGGACTCAAACCCAGATCTTCTGTAAGAGCAGACAATCCTGAGGCACTCTCCAGCCCAGGAGAATCCCTATCTTAAAATGTAAGGTGAAGAATGATCGAGAAAGATACCCAACATCAGCTTCTGGTTTCCACATGTGCATGCATGAGTAAGCACATTCACACATACATGCAAACACATACACACACACAAAGAAAACAGAACAATGATTTTATATACATGTAATCTATCATTTATTAAAGATGAAGGTAAATTTGCATTCTGAGATGGATATGATTACTTTTAGATACAGAATTAGATCTTAGGTGAATATATGATACTCTGAGACATAAAACATCCTCGACTTTATTCAGGTGATCAATATTTTGATTTTTAAGTTTTTTTTATTTTTATTTATGTGTCACTGTGTGTGTCTGCTATGTGTATGCAGTCCACAGAGGCCAGGGGGGTGCCAGATCCCCTTGAACTGAAGTCACAGGCAGCTGTAAGCTGCCCGATGTGGGTGCTGGATCTGAACTCAAGTCCTCTAGAGGAGCAGCAAGTGCTCTTAACCTCTGAGCACATCTCTCCAGACCCAACATTTTGATTGCTTTAAGTTGTCAGTGTTGATTTTGATTTTGTTTCTTTCTGTAAATACCACAAAATAGCAAAAGTATGTTTAGGGCCATTTCAGAAGTTATTGAAAATTTTGTCTTAATCCTGAGCCAAAATTCACTTAATAATAACTTTTTCTCAAAAGTTGGGGATTTAGTGTGCTTGCCTATCAAACACAAGGCCCTGGTTTTAGTCCCCAGCACTCAAAGCAACAACAAAATCAAGTCAGTAATGATTGGCTGGAACCTCCAGCCCACCCCTGCTTGATCCAGAAAGCCCCATTCCTCTCTCTCCACACCCTGCCCTCTCAGAGAATCTCCAATGAAGAAGAGGCACCCAAAAGCCCAGTTCTGCATTCTTGGCAGCTGCAGCAGCTCCCCCTCTGAGGCAGTAGCCCAAAACTCTGCCTAAAGCGGTCAGCTTTTGACCATTCTAGGCACAACCCCAGCTTCTGGAGGACACATCATCACCCCTCGCCTACAGGGTATATAAGCCTCCTGCTTTAGTTAGAGTGTCTGACTTCTCTGGCCCCAATCTCTAGGTCTGGAGGACTCATCCAGGAGTTCCTTTGCTCAAATAAACCTTTTCTTTTACTTTTTCAATTTGGCTTGATCTGACTTACTGCAATGGCAGAGAAACCTATTATTCCATTACAGAAAACCTACTTAGGTAACTCAATTTTCCGTTATCAATTTTTAAAAGTCAAACATTCTAACAGCATACAATTCAAAGGTACACTAATTTGCTATTTCCATGATGAAGAATGATAGTAGGACAATAATAAAAGCCTTTGTCTTTCTATAACTAAACCTTTATATTTCTATAAAAGCAGAAAACTTTGTACTTAATAGTAAAAACACTACAGTTTGGTAGACCACTTGGATAGCATGCATGAAGCCTCGGGTTCCATCCTCCAGCACTGTATGAAGTAGACGTGAATATACACGCCTATAATCTCAGCCTTGGGAACTGGAGGCAAAAAGATTAGGAGTTCAAAGTCATCCTTGTGTGCACATTAAGATCAGTATGGGCTACTTGAGACCCTATCTCAACCGTACATGCTCAAGCCACACCCAGTGTCACAGACTATTTCCTACTGTCTGCGAAAGATGTAGAACTCTCAGCTACCTCTCCAGCACCATGTCTGTCTACATGCTGCCTTAACCCACCATATGATAAAGGACTGAACCTCTAAACTGTAAGCCAGCCCCAGTGAAATGTTTTCCTTTATAAAAGTTGCTGTGGTCATGGTGTCTCTTTACAGCAACAAAAAGATCCTAACTAAGACAGCTAACAACAACTGATGACTGAAGTTACCCTGAAAAGCAGTCGATTTCTCGAGCTTCTACATGAGCAAAAGAAAGCAGGGAGCCACAAAGCATGTCAGAACTCCCCATCTGAAGACAGGACACTATCTCATGCTTGCTCAGCATACATAGGGAATTCAGACTCTGGCTTACCCCTTGACCCAAGGCATCCCATGGGACAACCTGTGGCCCCAGATTTGTCTATGGAGATCAAGGCAACAGATACCAGAGAGCAAAGGTAGATAATGGAGAGGCCTTGAAAGGAGGCTGTGGGGCCTAGAACACAGGCCTCCCTCAGCTCCTTGGGATGGAGTTGGCCAGACATCATCAAGTTCCACCCCTGTGGAGAGCACAGAGACTCAACTCTCCTCTACCAGTTCCTCCTCCTTGACCTGTGTGGGGGAGGAGTCAACAGCAGGAGCCAATTCTGCTCAGTATGGGGGTGGAGGCGGGGCTTGGCTCACCTAGGAAGTGGGAATGGAGATGGAGATAGTGTGAGAAGGGACTTGATGTCTGTCTGTCCAGTGACGATCTGATTCATCAGGAAAGGGAGTTTCTGGAAAGTTGGGCTGGAACTGACTGTAGAGGTTGAATTGCTGAGTCACCTGTTGGGAAGCCGCAGAACGCTTTGATAAGGGGTCTGACCTGCTCAGGCTTAGGCCACGCCTTGATGAATTTGACAGAGATCTGTGGAACAGACAGAGCAAGAGGCCAGAGACACACTCCTGGGCTAAAGTACATCAGAACCAAAAGGGAAACACACAGAAGCCAAACTAGATTGATTAATTAATTAATTAATAAAAGGGAAGGAAAAGACAGGAATTCTGGTGGCTAATCCTGTGAATGGGGACCTGGGGGGGGGGGCAGGTAGGATTCAATTGTATCCTCTAACTGGGCATGGTGGCTCATGCCTGTAATCCCAACATTAGTAAACCTGAAGCAGGAGGATAGCCATGAGTTTGAGGCCAGCCTGGAGTACACAGTGAGACCCGGTCTCCAAAACCAAACAAACAAAAACCCAATAACAGCAACAATAAAATACCAGCAAATCGTATCCTCTGTCCACAGCCCATGTAATACCTGTCTTTTAGACACTGTCCCAAGGGGGAGAATTTGGGAATATATTTTCACATATTGTCATATTCTCCCTTGAAAATGGAGCATCTCTTGTAAAAGAAGTAATTGTACAGGACTGGAGAAATGCTTAACAGTTAAGTGTGCTTTCTGCTCTTCCAGAAGACCGAGCTCCATTACCAGTACCCAAGGTAAGCAGCTCACCACTGCCCTTAACTCCAGCTCCAGGAACTCCAACACTCTTCTGGTCTCCATGGACACCTGTATATGTGGCGTACATATACACACACTACATAAAAAAAATTTGTTTTTTTGGTTTTTCGAGACAGGGTTTGTATAGCCTTGGCTGTCCTGGACTAGCTCTGTAGCCCAGGCTGGCCTCGAACTCACAGAGATCCGCCTGCCTCTGCCTCCCAAGTGCTGGGATTAAAGGCATTCACCACCACTGCCAGCCATAAAAATAAAAAAAAATGAAGTAGTCGCACCCAGAAATAATGTATTATTTCTCACTTCTAGCAAAATTCTGAGTACCTTCTCAGTTCCAGTTTTCTTATTTCTCATACTTACTTTTAGAGCGCTTAACTTTCATCCACACCCTTCAGGGGATGGGACAGGAGGACACAGCTGTCACCCTCCATGATCTCCTTAGCGTAGAAGGTGAATAGTGACCATGGCGTGCTCTCACCACTTCGGTGTGAGGGAGGCAGTGGTGACGGGCACCCAGAGGTAGCTATAGCCGAGGGAGGGATGGCTGCAATGTTGCCGTAATCTGCTGTCCACTCACCTGCCACAGGCCGAAGCTCCCGACCTTGCCCTGCTCTTCTGTTTCCTGTTTGGCCCACAGTGGGAGGAACTCGGTGTGAACCCAGAAGGTGGAGGGGCTTAGTGGACATGGCTCCTACACGCTATCTCCAGGGACAGAGCAAATCGCTGTGAGAGAATAAGGGAGCTTCAGGGACAAAGGGAACATTCAGCCGGCTACGACTGCGCACAAAAGCACAGGTGCCATGGGACTGGCCTGGCTTCCCAGGCTGACTCTGGACTCACACGGGGTATGAGATCAAGCTCGGAGTAGACCCTGCAGACCCGGAGCCCAAGGAAAGCAGCTGAGCTCTCTGCCTCCCGGCTCCAGGTCTCCAGACCAGAGCATAGCTTGTCTTCATGAAAGCCCAGAAACCATACGAAAAGAAAAAAACATCCTCCCTTGGGAAGACAGTCTGAGAAGTTCCTATTTCTTATAACTAAGAAACTTTGGGAGCTGGGCGGTGGTGGCACACATCTTTAATCCCAGCACTCGGGAGGCAGAGACAGGTGGATCTCTGTGAATATGAGGCCAGCCTGGTCGACAGAGTGAGTTCCAGGGCAGCCAGGGCTGTTATACAGAGAAACTCTGTCTCGAAAAACGAGAGAGAGAGAGAGAGAGAGAGAGAGAGAGA